ACCCGTTGCCCCAAAAAAGGAACTTCTCTATCTTACACCCAAATAAAAACGATTCTTTTCTTCAAAACCAGAATCAACCTTGTCTCAAAGTAATCCTTCTTTCGAAATATGCCAGAGCTGAATCCAACTCTCTCACTTTCCAAAAAAATTACTAACTCCATCAGAATCATAATCCCAAGAAGTCTTTGGTAGATTTTGATGGAAGTGTAATTGAAAGGGAACAGAGTAGATCTAATATTCTAAAGCGTGAGGCTGAAGTTGTGGTTGGATTTATGGAAGTCTTGAAAGATGGAGAAATTGGCAAATGTGAGGACTGAATGAGGGATCTGATGCCTCAAGTCTTTCTCATGAAGTCAATTTTAATGATGATCTTTTTCTCCTTGAGTTTTGTGTTTAAACGAACTTCCGATCCAATAAAGAGGATTGAGAATAGTAGGTTGATTGATGATGAAGTGGTGTGACTTGCTGATGTGGTGATTGTGGAAGAGAGAATAAAGTGAAAAAAATAAAAAAATCTTCATTTGTGAGAAAGAATTAAAAAAAATGGAGAAAAGAAAGTTGGTTGAGAAAGATACAACAGATGGTAAGGGTAAAACAGATTGAGAAGAAGAAGAGGGAGACATGGTGCTCAGGGATAGAAAGGGTAGTGTAAGTGAGGAACCTGGTTCCTTACAAAAGCAAAAGGTTGAGCCATTAGATTTGGAGGGAGAAGACATTAAAATCTCAAAAGGTGTTGTAAGGCAGAGTGTTGACTCTGATATTGCTGAAAAATGGAGGAACCTCTCGACATTGTTGAGTTCTACAAATTGGAATCACCTCTTTGTTCCTAAAAGTCTCAATGTTTCTGAAGAAGAAGTAAAAACTTCTATGTTTTATGTGATACTATGATGCTATATATGCATGGGACTGAGTCTATTCTTGATGAGACAAAGCTTGGGGAGATTCTTGGTGTACTGATTGATGGCTCAACATACTCAGATAGGTTGAGAGCCTGGTCCTCGAGGACCCTCGGCAGAATAGAATGCTAAGTTGAAGGGTGAGAATGAAAGATTGAGGAAACAGGTGAAGGAACTGAGAAAGCAGATGATCATTGATCAAAGGAGAGCAAATGAACAAATGGACAAGCTCATCAAAGCCTTAGCCCCTTACTTTTCTTCCTGCCCAGTGATCCATGTCTTTCACTCCTTCCAAATTCCCTTGAATTCTTACCTTCTTTTGATCCCTATATTTGATGACATTGGTACTTCTGTTGTTTAAATTGTCATATTATGTATTGTTGAAGCTATTGTGCTTTTATCATAATTACTCCACTATGGTCAATCACTCTATTTTGTGCACTGACATTCACTTGTTGTTCTTGTTATTGTTTATCTTGTGTTGCCCAAGTGGCCTGAGTTAATGTTGCTGAACTTCTTATTGGTGGTACTTCTTCTGTTATTCTTTTCGATGATGCCACAAGGGGGAAGTAATATAGATAGGTGTCCACATGGGGGAGGAACATAATCGAATTGATATGTGTGTTGTGCATGAAAGATGGCTCTGCTTCGCAGGGAGAACGTTGCTGATGGTTGTGCTTCGCAAGGGGAACGTGCTGATAATATGTTGATTATAGGTCTGATTTGCAGGGAAACATATGAGAAATCTGGTTCTCAAGAGGAATAATAATTTTAGTTTTGTCATCATCAAAAAGGGGGATATTGATCTAAGTTACTCTATGTCATATTTTGATGATGACAAACGTTCTCAACATACTTGGTACGGACCGAATGTGATCAGTGCAGATAAGGAACCTGATTCTCAGGGGGAATAATTCTAGGTTTGTCATTCATCAAAAATGGGGAAATTGATAAGCTATGGTACTTTGAGTTTTGACGATTTGCCAAACAGTCTTGAGGAACCAGTTGTGATCAGTTCCTTAGGTTCGGTTCTCATGAGGAATATGGCTGATTCGTAGGGGGAACAATGTGGGGATCTGGTTCTCAGGGGGAATATCAATTCTAAGTTTGTCGTCATCAAAAAGGGGGAAATTGATAAGTTTTCAATATCTTTGCCTTGTGTTTTGATGATCTAACAAACTTAATGTCAAGAACCAGATAGGAAACCTGACTCATTTGGATTACACTACAACTAACAGATTCTAGCCAAATGTGAACTTGCTACAGCTTCAGGAGGTAGGAACCTAGACAAGGACCTGATACTCTTGTGGGTTCCTCACGGCAGTACAAAGTCAATTGGACATAACCGGAAATGAAGATTCTGCTGCACTGCACTGTTTCCAGCGCCCACTCATTCTCTGATTCGATTAAAGTACAATGATTCAAGTTACTCAACTCAAGACAATCTGAGAAGTTTGCACAAGTACCAGATCAGGAACTTGATCTCTTGGTGCTCCCCTAACAGAAGTACAAGTCAACAATATAGCTGGATCGTAACTGCAGAAAGTGACTGTCCGTAATTGTACAAAGAGGAACACAACAAGGACCTGATCCCTTAGGGTTCTCTAACAGAAATACAAGTCAACTATACAGCTGGAACACAACTGAGTGACTGTCCGCAACTGTACAAAGAGAAACACAACAGGGACCTGATCCCTTAGGGTTCTCTGATAGAAGTACACAGTCAACTACAGCTGGAAAGCAACTGCAGAAAGTGACTGCCTGCAACAATACAACAGACAGAGAAATAGACAGTGCATCAGTCACTTTCCATTGAGATTGGACATCACCATTGTGAATTGACATCACTAAGGTAATGTCTTGTGTAGTATAAACCTCATGCAAGGCACAAGATTCTGGTTCAACACTTGAAAAATCAGAAAATGAAAATTCTCTCAAGTGCTCAAGAACCTCTCTCAAGAACAAAGCTGCTTCAACTTCAAGGACCTGATCCAAGATCGAAGATATCTTATGTCCTTAGGTTGTTGAGTCTTTGTTATGTGTTCTTCATTATAATTCCTAGTTTGCTTTCTTAGAAGCGTTGTCTTAAGAACAAACTAAAATTCGCAAACTTCTGAGTTTATGTTGTGACTAGGGATAGTCATAAGAAAAAGCCTTTGTAACCGTAGTGTGACAAAGTGGCTTGTGGTGGAAACATCACAAGTTAGTCAAAGCCTTTGTAACCGTAGTGTGACAAAGTGGCATGTGGTGGAAATACCACAAGTTAGTCAAATTCTTTGTAAGTAGGATAGTTATAGAGTGGCTTGTGATGAGAGCATCACAAGTTAGTTGAAGTCTTTGCAATAAGGTTATTGTAAAGTGACTTGTAATAGTAAGATTGCAAGTTAGTGAAGTTAAAAGCCTACAGGTGTAGGTCGTGGATTTTTTGATCTCCTTGTGTGGGATTTTTCCACGTAAAAATCCTCGGCCTTATTTACATTCAACTTTACTAGCATTCACTGCATAACCCGTTAAAGGATCATGTACTCTACTATTTGGTGGACTCACACAAACTTAGCACTGTACCAAACTAATATAGGACCAGATCGCTATACAGTTTGGTTCATCAGTACTTTCAGAGGAAACAAATAGAGAACCCGATTCTCTATACAGTGTGGTGGATGCACAAGGTATAACAAAAGAACTATGTTTGCACTAAAGAGGTTCACTTGGTAGGTTGTTGGATCACCAAACTAAAAAGAAGGTATTTGCATGGTCTCAGTCTTATCGTCATTCCACGTGTAATTCTAATTCCAGTGGTTGATTAAAAACTTGTAAAATAGAAGTCACCATTAAAGGTGTTTCAAAGCTTCGATTTCAGAAATTGCGTTTTTTGATTTGTTAGTTGTTTGGATTGGGTGTTGTCCCAATTGATCGGAATCATCAAAAGGAGTTCAAAACTTAAATTTGAAGTGATTTGGAATAGATTTAAGCTAGATTTGAGTTAAATTTCAGAAGATCCCCAAGAAAGAAGAAGAACACGTGAAGCTCTATTGATAGGATTCATTTGTATAATAATGTATAAATTGTATAAATAGTATATAATAGTGTATAAATAACTCTCATACACAATAATACATTATTTACATGTATTTGGTAAATTTCTCACATATTCTTCTTCTTCTACACGTATATACATAGGTATCACCAATATTTTTTACAGTGCTTATACATCTTTATACACTTTTATACAACTATATACATAATGTATCTCTTTGTATAAAAGTGTATAAATATCTCTGACGAACTTCTTATACGATTTCACTTGCAATTCTTGTCAAAACTAGTCCAAAACTCCATCAAATGACTTCAAACTTTGTATACAACCTACTTAGACTATTTCTAATAAGTTCAAACAATACCCACTCCAAATTTCTCACAAAATCATATCTAAAATTTAACAAGATTAGCATTGAAGAAGAAGATTTAGGTTTCTCGCGTCTGTTTTTGCATTTTTGTAGATGAGATAGGTATGTATAAACTTGAGGAAAAAAAAGGAGAATGGAAACTCAAGGATCTTTCACGCCGGAAGATCTAGAGAATCAAAAGAAAAGAAAAATAAAATCGAATATGAGTTTATTGATATTTGACTACACATTTACAAATTTGTAATTGGGTTAAAATATTGCAAGATCACCTTATGGAGTGATCTATTGTGTAATTCTTCCTATACTTTTTCCGTTGGTTTAATTCTTTTTTTTTGTTGTTTAAATTAATCAAACCAAATACTATCTTGTTTTCAAATTTAATATCAAACCAAATCAAATAAAAAAATCATTATTCAAGCCGCTTTGTTTAAATTTTGCGATCCAATATTATTTTTTGATTTAATTGAACACCAACATTAACAACTCAATAACATTTTACAGTGAGGTGTGGGGAAAGATAGAGTGTACTCAAATATTACCCTACTTAAGGAGTAGCGAAATTGTTTCGGAAAGACGCTCGTCTCAAACAGACGAATAGAGACAATAGATCCGTATCAGCAGCAACCGAAAATCTGCAGAACAATTAATTTGAAGATAAAAATACATAAATAAAAGAGAATCCCAAAATTTTAAATTTGTCATAACAAAACAAACCCAGTTTTTCTCTACCATTCCAGAACCTTCTTTTGTGTGACCCAAAAGGGGGGAAAAGAACAACTTGCCGTGTGGTTTTTCCTTATTTGATTTCTTCGCAGTATAGTTCTCCTAATTTGTCGCCAATATTGATTTCCATATCTATAAATGCCTTGCGCCGTTGCCCTTTTTTCTTCACAAATCATAAATTAGCTTTCTAGCTTTATTATATCGATATATAGTCCTCTGAATCAAGCAAATCCATTTTGAAGGTATTGCTTTTCTTTTCCTCCAGTTTCTTTTTTGATGATTCCATTCTTTGTTTATCTCTGGATTGGAATTTTTTAGGGGTTTTGATTCCGTCAAATAATTGATCAGTAGGGAGAAAAGGGGAAAAGAAAAGCCTTTAGAGTAATTTTATTTGTGGTCTGTTGTATTAATTCCTTTTTCTTATGGTTTTATTATTAAGATCCCTGGAAAAATTGAAATTTGAATAATTCATTCTGAAACTTAACCTAATCTGCATAAAATTTGAATTAAGATCTTTCATCGTATTATAGGATCAAGAGATTTTGAGTGACTTTTATTTGTGGACTGTTGTATTGACTTTTTTCTAATGGTTTAAGTTTATCAAAAATCCCTGGAAAAACTGAAATTTGAATAATTCATTCTGAAAATTAACCTAATCTGCATAAAATTTAATTCAAGATCTTTCATTGTATTATAGGATCAAGAGATTTTTATTAGCGTATGCAATAAGATAGACTTTGTTGTAGGGATATCCGTATTATCTCTTGCTAGTTGGGCACTGATGAACGAATAAAAGGGTGAAATTTCTGTAGAAGTATGTTTAGCAGTTGAGATGCTTCAAGGGATCTTATATAGTAGTTTTGTTTGATTGATATACAGATGCAGATCTTTGTAAAGACTCTTACTGGCAAGACTATAACTCTCGAAGTTGAGAGTTCAGACACGATCGACAATGTTAAATCGAAAATCCAGGACAAAGAAGGTATTCCACCAGATCAACAACGTTTGATCTTTGCAGGAAAACAACTCGAGGATGGACGGACTCTTGCGGATTACAACATTCAAAAGGAGTCAACTCTCCACCTTGTTCTTCGTCTACGTGGTGGAATGCAAATATTTGTTAAGACATTGACTGGAAAAACAATCACATTGGAAGTTGAGAGCACGGACACTATTGATAACGTTAAGGCGAAAATTCAAGATAAGGAAGGTATTCCACCGGACCAACAAAGGCTGATTTTTGCTGGGAAGCAATTGGAAGATGGGCGCACTCTGGCAGATTATAATATTCAAAAGGAGTCAACGCTCCACCTAGTCCTTCGCCTTCGTGGTGGAATGCAAATTTTTGTTAAGACCTTAACTGGAAAAACAATCACGTTGGAAGTTGAGAGCTCGGACACGATAGACAATGTTAAGGCTAAAATTCAAGACAAGGAGGGTATCCCACCGGATCAGCAGAGGCTGATTTTTGCTGGGAAGCAATTAGAAGATGGACGAACTCTGGCTGATTATAACATCCAGAAGGAATCCACCCTTCACCTTGTTCTCAGGTTGAGAGGTGGCATGCAGATCTTTGTGAAGACTTTGACAGGGAAGACGATCACGTTGGAGGTGGAGAGTTCCGATACCATTGATAATGTGAAGGCCAAGATACAGGATAAGGAGGGTATCCCACCAGATCAGCAAAGATTGATTTTTGCAGGGAAACAATTAGAAGATGGAAGAACTCTGGCTGATTATAACATTCAAAAGGAGTCGACACTCCACCTAGTCCTTCGCCTTCGTGGTGGAATGCAAATCTTCGTTAAAACCTTAACGGGAAAAACCATCACATTGGAAGTTGAGAGCTCAGACACGATTGACAATGTGAAGGCGAAGATACAGGATAAAGAAGGTATACCACCGGACCAGCAGAGGCTCATCTTTGCTGGAAAGCAGTTGGAGGATGGTAGGACCCTGGCTGATTACAATATCCAGAAGGAGTCTACACTCCATCTTGTGTTGAGGCTGAGGGGTGGATTTTAAGTTTTTTTTTTCAATCAGATGTTTCTCTATAGTGATTGTTAATGTTTGTCATTAGCTTTATTACATCTTCTAGTGTTCAATGCTATGAAGTATGGATGGACTGTTTGCTTAGTGAAATGTGATTTCGTTTCTAATGAAGTTTGTTTCTTTATGATTTTAGCCTTTTTACTGTCTGATATGCAACTCCTAAATCTTAATAGTAACTAGAGGTGGCAAAGAATACAGTTATCCACCCACATTATCCATTAAAAAATGGGCTGGATAATAAACTTTTTAAAAACGGGTCGAATATAGATAAGAACCATATTATCCACTTAGAAAATGGTTAATCAATAGATAATTAATGTGTTTAAATTTTTACATTTGTAACGCCTCAAATTGAGGGTTACTCAAGTTTGAGAGGAAAGAAAGAACATTAAATAATAATGAGAGGACGCTGGGAGAAAGGTGTCATGCCATGGAGCGAAACATCCCTCGCCTCATCTAAGGCAACTAAATGCACACGTTTTGCATTTTCCACCATGTAACAATAGTTTTTGATAGTAGAAAATAACAAAAAAGGATTGTATCCATCAAGAAATAGCTAGTATGAGAATTCAAGAATGGAGAGATCTAATTGCAACGAACGTCACAACAAAAAGAGCAATAACAATTTTCAGCTAAGCAATTTCCTCCAAGAAGTGGTCCTTTAATACTACCAGGCGCAGGCTTTCCTCCTAACTGTTGAAAACATTGGTGGTTGCAGTTTGTTGGATCACAAGGTTTGGCAATTGCAAGTAGAAATGGACATACTCGTGATCCAAGATGTTGTCCCCTTGTCTTAGTGCCTGTATTTGAGTCAATGTCAGTCTCTATATACAAAAGAATAAAATACCACCCACATCCAAATTTTCCCTCGTAATATTCGAAATTGAACAACGTGAAATTGGTGGACTCCATATAAAATATTCAAATTTACCCCTTAACTTTTGACTAACTATAATTTAAAATTACTCCTGGGTTGAAGCTCCGTTGCGGGTCAAAGGCAAAAACAAAACTTCCTCCTAAGGATTGGCAAAAGCGGATCTAGGATTTCATGGTATCCATAAGATTTCTATTAAAAAGATAAAATAGAATAATATACAACTTACCGAGAAAAATGAAGAGGGCAAATATAAAGGCAGCTATGCTTGAGAACTTCTTCATGATTAATGAATACCACAGAAAGTTCAATAGTCAAACTGTATCTATGGGGCTTTTGATGTCAAGATTAAAATGTTGTGAATTTTATAGGTACAAATGAACACCAAATATGGAAAAAGAGGTAAGAAAAGGTTAAAAAAATAATTATTGGAATTTTCAACTGTGCATGCAATCTAAAAGATCTAGATTCTGTGGTCTTTTTAGTTAAATATGAAAATTAACAGCCAAAATTTCACAAAGAGTGTGTGGTGTTTCCAATTTTATTTAACTAATACAGTTGTCTGGTATTATACATACAATAACTTTTAGTTTTATATATTATTGTAGCACAATAATTTGAAGGAAAAAAATAACTATGTAGGAACTGCAAGTAAAAATTTAAAACGTATTCTAAAGACTCTAATCTTATTGTATGTTAAGGAATGAGAAAAAATAAATCAGTATTTTTGAAGGCGGGGGAGTAAGGCAGGGTATTTTACTTAACGTGGGACGATGCGTAAGTTTTGAGGCATGGGCCGTAAGCGACGTGGATCTTTATATTTTTAATTTATAAATTAATAAAATAGTATAATAACCACAAAAATGATTAAGAAAATTAATTCACAAAAATGAAATATCTTAATCTATACTATATTAAAAGCACGAAGGTCCTTAGCGAAATGTCGTTCGCCTTTTTTACCCTTCTTAAGTAAATTTAAGTTGGATAAAATTGTAAATACAAATATAATTCTTCGTTGGAGAAAAAAAATCCGTAGGCTAAAAAGGAAAAGAAAGGAGATAACTAGGAAACTCCTTCTTTGATTAATATCCGTAACAAAGAATATTTGAAATTGAAACAAGAAAAATAAAATTGTCTTATGATAATAAAAGGGGAAAAGAATATTCGTAATAAAGGATGATTCAGTTATAGCTTTCCAGAAAAGTCAAATTTGTCAAAGTTAAAATGGGAAAAGAATAAGGGATTCAGTAGGAAGCTTATTATTCTTTGTAAATGAAATTCGATTACTATTCCAATTTTTTATTCTACATTCTTTTAGTTTTCTATTCTTTATCACAAGCTATTAACAATATCAGATCTACCAAGATAAACTTGTCTTTGATTTGAGGTAAACTTTCTAACCTTTAGGGTATTATTGAAATTATGATAATAGATGATCTTGAAGTTTTGTATTAACAAAAGTTCTTGTGATATTTTTGATAAGTATACAGTTATTTGTGTCAATCAGCATGTCTTTTTTTGTGACATGTAATTTGTTATTTATGTGAATAAGAAGCATAATTTCCGAGCTAGCATTGTTTATAAGTTCTATTAGCATAATACAGTTATCTCTATTGTTTATGTGAATAGGAAGCTTGAGACAATATCATGTTCTCAAGCTTCGTATTTTTTTTCGTAAGTCCTTATCCTAAAGTATAATTTCTCTATTTTACTTATAAAATCTCGCGTCTTTTGTACTATCTATGTATAGGATTTATGTCGCGCAAATACTATGCTTTTAAAATTATAATCACTATTAATTGTAATGTCAGCTCAAATTGCTCATTGAGGAACAAACATTGACAGTTAGCAACTTACCATCATTGTAGCCAACCAGAATTTTGATACTTTCATCGATCAGGTACGCTATTCTGCTTATTTCTTATAGTATACTCCGTATTTATTATATTTTTATTCTTCATCATAAATATTTTAGTGAATATTAATTTTCAAGTTATAAGGTGTGGTGCCTAATTTTTCTGTTTGATTTTATCTTTTTTTCCTATGAGTTTTAAGTTCTTACGGAAATAGGGAGCACATCAAGTTAGGAATATTGTATAACATGCATTTTGTCTAGATTATGAGTTTGAATTTTTATTTAAATGGATTTCAAATATGTTAATAAGTATATTTCTTAGCTTTTGTGCGTACAAAGGACTAACATCTGCAAAATTTTGAAATACCAACTTAGCTATAGTTAATTGTACAATAAAGTAAGTACGGGAACAAACTGGAGAAAGAACTACTAAGGTGGATCTAAACCCCTAAATATGATTAACATTTAGCATTTTTAAAAATTTACAATTTTGATTATTTTTTATTTATGACATAAACATATTTAAAAAATATGTTATTTAGGCTGTTTTTAAAAAGTTTATTCTCATAAATATGAGGTACACGCTTAGCGAAATATAGTTCATCTTTTTTACTCTTTCAAAATAAAGTTCGCACCGGGCATAATAGACATTTGGTTATTTTTCTAATATTTGAGAATAATTTTTTTTTTTTTTGCATATTATATCTTTTCTTACTTGAATTAGAAAAATAGCAACAATTTTAACCGACTAAACCTTTCTTAATATTTATGTGATCTTTGAATACGATACAAATTCCCAGTCGACAAAGATCTTAGAGTTATTCTATTAGTATTTCACTCCAGTTCAAATATGTCTTTGATCTCCCACCTTAAGGAAAATAGTCCTAATTCAATTTAATTCACTAAAAACTTCATATTCTAAAAAAAAAATATATTAAATCTAGGTGGAAAAATATTAGAATGTAAATTAATCTTTTTAAACCAACATATTAAAAATACTAGACATTAACTATAAGATTAAGTGGCTTTTAAAAGCTTAAAATTAGAATTTATTTTTGATATCACCAACTACTTATTTTACTTAAATTTACTTTGTATAATTTATCTCATACTATAATCTTTGAGAATTACACCTCAATAATTTCAACAAGTAACTATAAAAACATAAGAGAGAGAGGTGTTTGGTTGTTGGCAATAGTAAAAAAAAAAACATGAATAGCTTTGCTAATACAATATCCAAACTTAAATATCAGATTGATTTTTTAGGCTTGAAAAATATAATTTTAAATAAAATTATAACTATAGCCAAATATTTAAAACTTGCAATGAGTTAATATTACTAATTTCAATCAACAAAAATTGAATCGTTTCTTTTAATAAGAATAAATATTAATGTTTTTAATAAACAAATTTAAAAGAAATCCCATTCAATTTCTTTCCAAATCATCATATAAGTAAACCCTTTNCTAATAAGAATATATATTAATGTTTTTAATAAACAAATTTTAAAAAAATCCCATTCAATTTCTTTCCAAATCATCATATAAGTAAACCCTTTTTCGACAAGACTTTTAGATACAAAAATTAGATTTTTTTTATAGGAATAGCATTTGCAGTGGAAAAAATAAAAAATAATGCAAATTCGATTATAATATAGTAATAAGCATTAACTGCAAAATCCTATAAAACTCTTGAATAAATTCATACATATAATTTCATATATAGAAAATTAAAATAAAAAAAAGAGTAGATTAATTAAAATGTAGCAGTTGAATTTACTTTCTGTGATAGTAATTTATTTTTTTAATCAGTTGGAAATAGTTCCTATAGTATTTCTTATATATTAAAGAAATAGAACAAATTGCATTTTGCTCGAGAGCAAAAAGAAGTTGTTTTCTGTCAATTGAATGAGATGATTAAGAACTTATATGGGGCAAAGTTTTATTTTCCTTGACCTAGCTAAATAGGATCAATAATTATCACTTTTAGAAACTTACAATTTCGAACTTTAACTTTATTTTATAACTCAACCATAATAATAGAACATTTTTCTTTGAGATATTACTTATTGAAATATGGTAACACGCGCAACGCGCGTATTCTAAGACTAGTATCTTTATAAATATAAACAATGCAATAGTGTTAAAGTTACGATAAGAAAAAAAAATTAACTTTAACGTCTTATCCTTCAACAACAACAACAACAACAACGACCCAGCATAATCCCACAAGTGAGGTCTGGGGAGGGTAATATGTACGCAGACCTTACCCCTATCCCAAAGGGTAGAGAGGCTGTTTCCAGGAGACCCTCGGCTAAAAAAAAAAAGCAACAGGAGACGATATATTAGTACCATAAAAATGCATAATACAATAACAACAATATAAGAGATATGAA